TACAACAGCCTCCATAGGAACAGTAAAATGTGAAATTTCTGGTTCTCTCTGGTCCTCTACACACCTTCACAGATCCAAACTGAAATTCACTTGACTTCTTTTTCAGTTGTACCAAGTTGGGATTAACCATGTGTCTTGTTTTAGCAAAAGTTGCATTTAAGCAATTTACTATCCCAGGAGACATTCAGCCTCCTGCAGGCTCCTGCCATCCCTCATCTGCAGGTTCTTTTCTTTAAAATATAAAGAAATATTTTTTTTCTTTTCTCTTTTCTTTTCTTTTCTTTTCTTTTCTTTTCTTTTCTTTTCTTTTCTTTTCTTTTCTTTTCTTTTCTTTTCTTTTCTTTTCTTTTCTTTTCTTTTCTTTTCTTTTCTTTTCTTTTCTTTTCTTTTCTTTTCTTTTCTTTTCTTTTCTTTTCTTTTCTTTTCTTTTCTTTTCTTTTCTTTTCTTTTCTTTTCTTTTCTTTTCTTTTCTTTTCTTTTCTTTTCTTTTCTTTTCTTTTTTCTTTCTTTTTTTCTTCCTTTCTTTCTTTCTTCCTTTCTTTCTTTCTTCCTTTCTTTCTTTCTTCCTTTCTTTCTTTCTTTCTTTCTTTCTTTCTTTCTTTCTTTCTTTCTTTCTTTCTTTCTTTCTTTCTTTCTTTCTTTCTTTCTTTCTTTCTCTCTTCCTCTCTTCCTCTCTTTCTTCCTCTCTTTCTCCCTTTCTCCCTTTCTTTCTCCCTTTCTCTCTCTCTCTCTCTCTCTCTCTCTCTCTCTTTCTTTCTCTCTTTCTCCCTTTCTCTCTTTCTAAATTAATGCTATCAGGAGCCATGCAGCTTTGTGGCAGTGATTTTCTCTATGTCCTACTCAAATACCCTTTTTTAAGGTGAAATATTAAATATCTAATTAATTTAGATAACCCCTTCTCTTTGCCATATTTTCACATCAGGATGACCAACAGCTCTCCTTCCCCACGATGTGATCTGCAATCACTTAGGGAAGAGCATGACACAGAGCAAAACTCTGGTTCAGATTCAAAGTTAAGCTTCACCTAAACGGAGGCCAGCCTGACAATGACCCTAGGACCTTCCAGAAGTCTGCAGCAGTGATGATGTGACAATGCAACAAACTGGATCAGCTTCCTAGCATAAATAAAATTTAAAAAAAAACCAGCAAACCAAACAAAATCAAACAAACTAAAAAACAAATACAAACAAACCAACAATAATAACAACAACCACAAAACAGAAGTGCAAATTCATTGCTGGTGCAATGATAAGTCAGCCAGTGGTAAAATTGAGGCTTAAGTGCCAAATAGATTAACCTGGAAAATATTCTTTAGAGAGTTTAAGGGGCTTATTTTTGCTCTCAGTTTTGCTGAAGTCAAGGAAGTAGGTCCATTATCATTTCAAAATGTATTTCACCTCAGTGCAGCTGCAGCAGACTGAAGTGGACCAGCAAGATACTCAGAAATGCTTTCTGTCACCCCTCCAGACACACACAAACTCTACCCAGCTCCAGGCCAAATTCTTCCAGCATCAGTTACAGCATCAAAACGACAAAACCCAAGGGTTTTGCTCAAGGGAACATCTTTTACTGCCTAGGAAGAGGCACAGAGCAGCAGGTGGTATTTGTTTTTTCCCTTACTGAAAGAAGTCAGTTCCCTGTGCTCCAATTCCACATGGGATCCTTCCCATCAGTTCCGTGCAGCTCGCTGCTGTGACAGCCCTGACACTGCAGCACAGGATGTACCCTGAGGAGCTCATCCAGCTCCTTCAGGGCTGCCACTGCCTCGTAAATCAGCTGCCTGGAATAACTCAGGGAGGGCTTAATCCAAAGCTGAAATCAGTGCAAAGCTTCCCATCGACTCCAGCCTGCTCCAGACTGGTACCTCAGGGCTTTATAAAACCAGTCCCAGGCACAGGAGTCCCTCTGCCCCTGGGGAGCAGGACAAAGCCTCAGCTTTGCCCCTGAGCAGTTAAAGGTGTAGCACATCCCATCACCCCAAGAAGGTTTTCCTTTTTTTCCCTGAAGCTCACACCTGATCAGTACAAACCAGATGCTGCCAAATGGGCACAAGTTGGCACTGCCATACTTTGTCCTGGGTTTCCCAGGCTGTGGCTGAAAAGTCTCCTTCCCCCCCGAGGTACCCGAGCTGCTGGGTCCCCGCCAGGCTGAGCACACACAATAAATCTAACAGCCTTGGGAGAAAGCTGGACAAAGTCCCATATGTCTGCTGTTGGAAGCATGCCCCCTAGACAGGTCTGCAGTGCTGCTCCAAACACATTGAGAAGCCTCCAGAGATCCAGACAAATATAAATAGTAAAAAAAAAAAAAAAATAAATCTGGCTGGACAAAATTTCTGGGTGGGCGCAGTGTGCGGCATCCAGAACGTCTGGAATACCTTGAAATTATAAGATCTTAAAATTAAAAAAAAACCACTTTGCTTCTGAGTTGGTGGCAATTTTTTATCTGAGTTACCACAGCTTTAATTACTATCCACAGCACGTACCAGGGGTGAAATGCAATGTTGGTCTTCAAAAGACAAAACGAATTCTAAGCACACGAAGCCCAAATGCCAGGGCTACACAGCACAACAAAGTATCATTCCCAACAGATTCCTAATGGGAAAAAGCCCCAAAACACAAAGCCTCACACCAGACCTCAAGAACTGAAGTTACACTAAGCTTCCCAAAGATTAAATAGCTGGACATCAGCGGCTCCAGCATCACAGACTCTCAGGAATCTGACAGCATCTGTATCCTCACTGATCCTAACATGGCTCTGGCTCCTGTGAAGGCATGGTAATATCAAATCACTCTCTCTTGGGCAGGTGCTGCAGGAGTCCATCCTGCTACATTTTCACCCCTCAGTCTTTCTTGGGCACGAGCATCCAGCTAGAAAGACGGGCTTTCAATGTATATTCATCCCAGGAATCGGTAAAACGCGACACTGGAGTTACAAACGCTGCTGATGGATGTGGCTGCTGGCACTGCTGGGTTTGCTGCTCTACTCAAAGCCTAAACAGCACATGGGAGACCTGGCAAGCATGTTCCAGCCCACACAGGCATCCATCTGTCCATCTCCCAGCAGAAATGCTCACAACCAGTGCTGGATTCCCCACAGCAGCCCACTGATGGGAGGGCTGGGGAAATGGGCTCTGCTCAGAACTTATGGAGGGACATTTCCAACCTCCATGCTGAGCTTTAGGACTGCACAACCCACTTCATAAAACACCTGAAAGTGCTTTATGAAAGCCTGGAAAGCAGATTTCTGCAGCTTATGACATGTTGTGATCGAATCATTAAAGGCGAAGATGATCCCCAAAAAAATCCCTAAAAATCTGAATTTGCCAAAACCGATGCAGCATCACATATTCATTTGTTAATAACTGCCCCAGTGCTGCTGTCCTTCCCTCTCTGTGAGCTCTGCAATGGGGGCAGATGCTCAGCTCATCTCCTGCCCCACCTTGCCCTTGCTGGGGCAGGATTTGGGAGGTCCCAGCTCCCGGAGTCACATCTGAACTTGAGAATCAGGCTCTGTTATTGTTAAGGCAAACCAAAAATAAAAAGTCCAGACTAAATTATTTTTAAGATCCTGAGATTTTTAAAGCAGTCTTGTGACTTCTAAGGGGTCTGACTCATGGTACTTGAATGCTTGAAGTTGGCAGCAGCGGAGGGAGTACAGCAAGATTTAGCGTACAGTAATTTATTGTTGAAAGCCTTCAGATGTGTGGGAAAGGGCACGGAGCGCATCTGCAGTGATCAGGGAGAAAAAGGGACACAGGCCCAAACCCTTCTTCTCTGGCCAAGCTACCCCCCTCCATGAAAGCACCACTCTAAACCCCAACAAAGAACCCCAGACACGGAAAAAGCAGTTCCCATCAGCAGGGTGGGATACACGTGGGTGCTGGATTCCAGCTCCAGTGATGGCAAGGGCAGAGCCCACTGTCCCCAAGCCCTGTGGCTGTCCCTGCCTGCCCAAAGCAGCCACAGCACACAGCCCAGGTCACCCCACAGCCTCTCCATGCTCAACCAGAAACTGGAGGTCTTCAAAGAGAAGTTAAGAGGTATTTTTCTACAGAAACTCCCAAACTACAACCCCTAACATCCTCCACAGACCACCCAAGGCCTCTATTCCAACAAACCCTCAGGTCTCAGCCTTTCCTTTAACAGCTTTGTTTAAAGAAGAAACAAAAATTAAGTCCCTATTCAGAATTAAATACAAAAATGAGAACAAAATCTGCTTAAACCTAGCTTTTATTTTTTTTTTTAAATCAATGCAGTGTTAATAATCAAATCTTTTTATCACTGAAGACATTACAAAAATGAATGGAGCCTTTTTCCCTACTTACACCAGTGTAAATCATGAAATTTCATTAAAGTGAACAGAACTGCAGAGGTGTAAAATGGGTTTAGTTAATGAAATGTCATTTTCATGATATTTATTTCATAAATTGACATCATCATACCCACATCAAATTCTGCTCTCATTTCACCAAAGTAAATCTGTAACAACTGGCAGCAAATGCTGCTCTTGTTGCCCACATAAAGCGACTGTAAATGAATAAAAAGCAACACTGCCCAGTACAGGCAGACAAATCACACAAATGCCATACAGCATATACCAAGTGTATCCCAGCTTTCAATTTATACCTTATAACTTTATCTTTAGTAGATATAATATCTGACATGTAAATATCTGGCAAGCACAGTCCCATCTGCACAGCACTCCCACAGCATCTGAGGATGAGCTTTCCTTTCTTATGATTTTCCGTGCCCATATTCCACCACCTTTGCTGTTTACATTTATCCATGCAGCAAAATAACCAGAAGCCAGACATTTACAGCATTCTAAGGAAATCAGGCAGTACACACTCCTCATCTCTCCCACAACGTTAGTTAAAGCTATTTTTCTGGCAAGTATCGCTAGCACAAGGACTCTTTGGGACTTGAGGCAGAAATTCTCATAGCCACTGCTAATCAAAGGCAAGGCACCAGCACCATTTCCCACATGTGGTAACTCACCTCTCTGCTTCCAGGCGCATTTCCTCACGCTTTTGCCTCCTGAGCTCTCTGCGGCGTTCAAAGTCATCCATGGCGGGCGTTTAAGAATTCCAAGCTCTGGAAAGATCCAAATCTAAAAGGGAGATGATCACTTAGATGAGAGTGAAAACACAAGAGAGGCATTTAACCAACTGAGTCCATTTAGTTTTGTTTTGCTGCCTTAACAGCGCTGTAACTATTTTCTTTTTCCATCAAAAAACCTCGACTTCCTCAGTATTGTTGAGATAAACAAGATTAATGAAATGTCTTGTAGGATAAACATAGCCCTGCCTGCATTTAGTTTCCTAGTTAAAATTAAATCAACATGCTTCAAGTAAGGACTGTATACATCTGCTAGCCGCAGCCTAGCTATTTGTAACGTCACAGGTCTTTTCCACTAACAAAAAAACAACAATTCAGCAGGATTTTTAACTTTAAGCTTCCAATTTTTCACCGCAAGCAGTAAAAGCACTGCACGAGAGAGTTCTTCTTTTTTTTTAGTTGCACAGAAAATTAAAAGTTCTGCAAAAGTTAGTCCCCCCCCCAGTCCAGCTGTTCCCACCCCCACCTTCAGAAATTCAAAAAAAAAGGAAAGTGAAGAGAAAATGAGAAAAGAATTAAAAGGAAAAGAGAAAAAAAAAAAAAAGAGGGGGGGGAGAGAAAAAAGAGAACGAAAAGAGAAACGAGGAAAATAAGCCACTGCTTTAAAATTCCACTCAGGGGAAGTCAAACTATGTACAGATACTGCTCAAAGAACAAAAAGTAGCAATATTTTTTTTTTTTTGGAGATTAATCCACGCACTTTGCCTGTGCCCTACCTTCTTCTTTATGATTTAGTCCATGAAGTATTTTCCCCTTTACAGTTCTTCATATACAAAGCCTTCCCAGCCTCGGTTTATATCCCATCAAGCCGACTATTACAGAATTCCCCTGCAGCCCCCAAACCAAAAATGACTACCAGAAAAGGGAAAGCTGTTCTCTTTTTGTCCCTGCTTTGTTTACAGAGCTGTCAGTGGTTAGTTAAACTCTGCCTGGAATCTGGCATTTAAGGCCTGCTCTGAGATTGCTTCCTGTGCAGGGCTGGAGGCCTCAGCTTCCTCTGCAATCCCAGCCCCGGCGCTGCACTCCAAGGATTTCCACCCCCCCAAAAAAAACCACTTTTCCCAGCCTGTCCTTCCACAGGGAAAGCCTAAAACTTCCAAGGGTGGCTCAGGAGCTGCTGGCAGCTGAGGGGAAACGGAGCCCAGGTGCCTTTGGATGTTATTTGAAGCGCTCTGTTTGCAGATGGAGATCTGTCTCGCGGCTTTATATCCATGTGCCCTCCCCATAAAATCACTGGCACCAGCAAAGCCTTGCCTGGCTTCAGGGAATCCGTGGCTTTTTCTGCCCCCTTTTTTGGATTAAAGCACTGCTGAGGGCAGGGGTTTTGTGAAGGTTATTTTATTAGTTTACTTTCCCTGGGGGTATTTTTGTTTCTGATTTGTTCCCAGATTGGGGGATTTAAATTTTTGTTGCCGTTGATGTGATTTTCCTCGCATTTGTCTGGGGTTGTTCTGTGGAGATTCAAAGGAAATGTTAATTTTGCAAATCTGATAGAGACACTACAATGCTGCTGCTTACCTTTTTTTTTAATTATTATTATTATTTTAATTCAGTTAGGCCATATATCTAAAAGGCAAGTTGTAACAAGATTTTTTTGCCAATCTCTTAGTACCGGGTCCTTGTTCTGGTCCTTTGAGAACCCAGAACAGCAAATCTTGCATTTTTTCCCAAGAAAGGAGAAAGCTCATGTGTGCAGCTAAACCTGGCCCCAGTTTCATTACTGGAGGACCTGTGAGCTGCAGGACTGATGTGGCTGCCCCTGCCTGGGAGACAAGGATCAAAAAGGAGTTATGGTACAGGACAGGAGAAATTCAGAGCAGCACGCTGGGTTTCTGTGCAATGCCAGTGTCCCCAGGAGCCAGGACTGTACCAGGCAACAGTATTTGGCCTGTGGAGCATTCACCACCAGGGATTTTAACAAAGAGTTGGCTGTTAGGATGACAACTCACATGCTAGGAACAAGAATCCCAAAGCTTTTTCCTGCTTTACCTCCCCAAAGCAGACATGCTTTGATTTATGTGCACCTTTATCAGCTCCTACCCAGCCAGGCACATCCCTCTCTCCACCTGTTTTTTTCTTCTGGGTTGCTCAAGGCTCTGTGCACCAACATTGTCCCTGTGTCCTCTCCAAATGTCCCACCCCATCCTCCACCCCTCCCCTTTCTACATGGTCCTCAGCACCACCCCTCATCTCCGAAAGCTCAAGCTCTTCCTCACGAGGAAGTCTGAGGAGGATAACAACAACAACCCCAAACTATTTCTGTTCTTCCTCCCCTCTTTTCCTTCCCAGGAGCACTGGGGAGATTGCTCAGCAGTCCTGATGCAGAAAATTTTCCCCATCCTCAGGGTGCTTTTCTGTCATGCAGTGAAGATCAGATGGATGGACACCTCGGGAGGAGGACAAGGGTTTATTCCAGTGTAGTGTCTCCTCTCAGAGGACCGAGGCACAGCCACTGCATGACATTCAGAAGGCCTGCAATCCAAAATCTCTCTTTCAAAAATCAGGAAGCCACTTGGGAAATGGAGTCCAGGCCATCAGTTTGATTTATCTAGCAAAGCCATACTAGTGCAAGAAAAGGAACCATCAGCCAGTAGGTTCACTTGAGGAAGTCAGCTGTTCAGTGCTGTTCACTGTCTCCCCAAAAATGACAAACTGCCATCCAGCCTCTGAGAACCACTAGACAATAACATCAATCTAAAAATTCTTCCTATTTCCACAAAAATACGTAATACATATATATTAATATATATGTATATAATATAATGCACATTTTTTATACATAGTATAAAATTAAGATTCTCAGAAGACTCAAAAATTGCTTTACTTATTGATGTAGGTACCAATTATTAGAAGTGTTTTCTACAAGCCATTTTTTGGAGTGTGTACATTTTAATGTTTCTTTTTTTAAGATTAAAATTGCTCATGTGTAAAAAAAAAAATCTTGAGAAAATATGTAACACTCCACCCAGCTCCCCTCCAGGGCCTGCCCTCAAAGCCACTTGTGAAAATGTCTCTCTGTGTGACCTTCCAAGGTGTGAAAAGACATTTTATTTTTCTACGCTTTGATTGTATACTTATTTTCCTTATTTTTAGTAAGTTGCTGTATATATATTTATCTAATAGATGCAGATGTCTGAAATTACTAGACCAGTTTTATTCCCCTGGCATCCACACCTTTGTGCAAATTACTGGAATATGGGCTATTCTTACAGTGTGAAAAGGTCCACCACTCATCATTTTGTTGTTTCTATTTCAAAACAAGACCCTCAGCATCTTTTCAGCTTTTACAGCACTGAAATAATCTGAAGCAAACTTTGGGGGGTTTTCCACCACCAGGTTCAAAAGAGGGACCTGTGGAAGAATTTACCTACATTGCTTGAATCAGAATTATGGCAAAGCGCCCTGAAAATATTATCTCTCCCCAAAAAAACCCTCATTTCAAAAGCAATAGTTGAGTCTTACTCCCTCTCTTCACATAATCCATTTGATCTTCACCTGACTGTGGTTTATTGCTAAAATTTGTTGAGTTTTTCACTGTCTTGCTAAAAAGTACTTTCTTCAAGGACAGCCACGTTTAATCCCTCCCAGAACAAAGCCCACACACGCAAATCCCACTCCCCTTTATGTCTCATCCCATGAGAGACTTGGAAAATTCTGGCTTCTTTCTTCAAACTTTCATCCAGGTAGAAAATCAGAGGAAGGCGCACAGTAACTGCAAATATGTGACAAAATATATTAATAGCACTCGTTGGGAATATCCTTTTTGAAAGCAAACAATAAATTGGCTGAGTAGAAATACACACACAACCATATAATTGTATAATCCAGTGTGGAGAGCAAAATGACCTCCTGCTCTGGCTCAGATTTAAAACTGTCCTCACCCTATTCCCAGCACTGGTTTCAGCGACAACTCAGCATCCAGGGGGTCTTAAAAACCTTTGAGCCAGTCTGGCTGCGAGCAACATGCAAACTACTGCTCAGGTCTTTGAACAGAAATGTCTTTCAAGACCTCCCAGCCACCTTTCCATCGCACTGCGTGAGCTCCCAGATGTTTAGGCTGAACTTCTACACCAGCTTCACCAGCTGAGCCAGGAAACTTCAAACCAAAGTTTATTCCCCGATATAGCACGGCTGTGTACTGCTCGAGGATCTGTGCTACACGAGCACATTCCATCCTGCTTCTCTCTTAGCGCAACGACAGATTTCCCAAGCTCCTCATTCACCTGAAGGGAAGCAAGGGGATTTGGCCTAAGTTTCTCTGTAACAAGAAAAACCTCCTGCTAAATTTCTCATCGTGCCTAAAGACCTCTGCACGCTGTGCCTCAGGTGTGTCCCCTTCCTCTCTGAGCCCAACAAGCCTCTAAGGCTGGCGAATGAGGTGGGCTGCCAGCACAGGCCCATCCTGCACCACTGGAGAATCCCAGTAGAAATTTCAGGATCCTTCCAAGTCCAGCTACACAAAGGTTTCCCATGTGCTCACAACTAAATGTTGCTCCTGTCTTCGCTGCAGGATCAGGTGGTGACAGAAGACCCAATTTATTGCCCTCATTGCAATTTGTTTTTGTCCATACTAGCACCAAAGCCATCAAATTTCTCATTACATTTTGACCTAAACCAAGGCTGCATGCAGCTTTGTGACTTGTACCCCATCGATCCAAGTGTTCTGTTTTCCAGTTTGTGTCCACCTCAGGTGGCTCAAAGCCCTGGTGTCAAAGCGTGGACCTTTCAAATGTCAGCAAAGGAGTGGTCAGTGAGAAGCATGAAAGGTATTTTGCATTAGCTGGCTAAATTCCATGACATCTACTGTAACCCTAGGACTACCACTGCCCTTTCCTTCTACGTCCTCCACCTCAGAAGTGAAAACATAACCTCTTCATTGCCCCTTTTGAAGCTAGAAGCAACTCAACATGCAACACTCATTGTCTAAATGTGACTTGTTTAATCTGGCACCCGTGAAATGCAGGTATGACAAGCATTCTACTGCAATATCTG